ATAAAATAACATTAGGTACGAGACATATTAGAATACAGTAATGTTTTCCATTAGTTTATTTAAAAAAAAAAAAAACAATAAATAATGAGATAACAACCGTGAACATGAACTTTTTTATTATTAAAGATGATTACCCACTTATCTACTCAGAATATTCAAAATAGGGGTTATATAAATAAAATGTACTCGTATTTAAAATAAATACACAACAAAAAACTAGATTGCTTCTATCGGGAATTGAACCTGCTTCGCGACATGACAAGTTAAAAAAGTTGAACGCTTCATAAACTGAGATATCAGGGTTATGTCACTTCAATTATCTAATCAAATATTTAAATGGTTCATAGGAAAAAACAAAAATATTTTAAAATTGTTTAATTTAAAAATAGTTTATTATTATTTATAATTTATCGACACTACGTACTAACTAATGTATTTATACTTCACACTTAAATTTATTTTACAATTCTCTTATACTAATTTACTTTATCGATGTTTTCACTGCTATGACTCGATTTTAACTGAAAGACTCCCTGTGCAACACAGCCCATTTATATATTAGAAATTATTTATTTAAAGAAATAATTAATACACACATGTTTAGTCATGCATAGGTACTCGATAAAGACTTGTTAAAGATGAGTTAAATAACAAACAAATAATTATTAAAAAATACAAAATATATATATAACACATTAAAGTGTAATTTATTTGTAATATTTAGGATATCACGTGGTAGATATGAAAATAATTTAGATCCTAAATACTCATGTGACTGTTGTCCTATAGATTTATTTGTTGTAGCTGATAAGTAGTAATAATTTTTATTTCTGGTATTATAATGATGTTCATTTAATCTTAGAGTATGCTTATTTTTGTATTGTTCTAGAGCACTTTGTAAGAAAAATAATTGCCGAGGATCTAGAACTCCATTGCCATTATAAAGCGCGTTTGTGGGGTAAAGTCTATCCTTTTTGAATAAAAATGTTTAAAAGTCTCTTTTGACAGATTATAAGATTATTTAGATGAGTTTTTTTTGACAGCGCCGGCTACTATTCCAAATGTAATATGAGATTCAACAAGCGCATAATAAATCGTTTTTAGCTGGGTAAAGTTAAGTATATTCTTTAGGCTGTTGAATTTATAGATAAGATAACGTATGTTTTTCAGGAAGGTACTCAATATGTTTGTCCCACCTAAGATGACTATCCAGAACTACCCCTAGATATTTGAATTTATATGTTACTTTTATATTGAAGGTCTTTTTCGACTTTAAGCTTTAAATATTTCCATGTGTTATCTGTATATAAAATTACCGTATCATCAGCGTATGTAATAATGTTGCCTGCACTTTTTATAAAAAATAAATTGTTTAAATAGATGTTGAATAATATAGGACCCAGCACTGTGCCCTGCTATACCCCATACTCCACATTCCTTAAATTACTGTGTATATTATCAATTTGAACACGCTGAGGTCTATTAGATAAATAGCTTTTAAAAAATTTCAGTGTTTCACCTCTTACACCAATATTTTCAAGTGACTTAAGGAGCAAAGCATGGCTAACTCTGTTAAATGCCTTTGATAAGTCTATGAAAACACATAGAGCAGGCCGGCTGCTATCTACAGATTTATACATTTCTTTAGTTAATTTTAAAATTGCGTCTTGAGTAGAGATACCTTCTCAGAAACCGAATTGATTACTAGATATAACACTGTATTTATTTAAGTATTCACATAGTCTAGTTTTTAAGAGCTTTTCAAATATTTTGAACAAATTAGTTATTACGGAAATCGGTCCGTAGTTTATTATTTTTGTCTTATCTCCGCTTTTATAAATTGGGAATACAATGGCTTCTTTCAAACATGACGAAAAGGTTGACTGTTCAATACATTTATTAAAAATATCCGCGAGCGGTTTATCGACCCAGTGTGTGATTTGTTTTGGAGTTTCAGATTTAATTGTATCGATACCTGGTGCTTTTTTGTCTTTCAGCTGATTGATTATAGTTTTAACCTCGTGCTCGTTAGTTGCTCGAAGAAAAAGAGAGTTTTTAATTGAAATTGTATTTGGTTGATAAGTAGGATCATTTGTTATTTGATCTGATAGTTTTTTTCCTATATTTACGTAATGTTCGTTCATTTTGTTTACTATCATTTTTTTGTCATAAATAAGTTGCCATTATCGATTATTTTATTGATAAGATTGGGCGGTTTCTTATTCTTACATGTAATTTCCTGAATAACAGACCACAGTTGCTTCGAATCATTACCTGAATTATTTAATTTACTTTTAAAATATGCTTCTTTTGTTATACTGACTAGTGTATTGACTCTATTTCTAACGTTTCTATAAATTTCTTTTATTCTGATCATTGTTTGGAAATTGCAGTAGGCTTTGATAGAGTTTATCTCGATTTTCAATCATTACACTAAGTTCTTCAGTCATTCAGCTTTTCCTTTTTTAAATTTTTTTCTAATACTTACTATAAGTACAGTTTTCAATTTCAGTATTTACTATTTCAATATTTGTTGCAGAGTTACAATCATTGCTGTTGTAAATTGCAGCCCACATTTCTTTACTTAATCGCTTATTTAGTTTTGTATAATTTATGCGTTTAAGTCCGGCTTGAGTTTCATTACTTTTTGAGTTATAATTTTGTTGATATATAATTTGGTTAAATATACTATATAATATATAAATTGGTGTATGCTCTAGATTATTCTCGTTCTCGCCATTTATTAGACAGGCGTCTCCGGTAACTTCTCGAATTTTCTTCTAATACATTCCTGAATGAATGATTCATGTGGTATAGGGCACTTCCCGAAAAACTAATAGTATGAAATGTGTCACTTTCCTAAGTAGTCGTAGGAAGAACTGTTTCGAATAAAATATGTGTGGACAATTCTCATCTTTAAGACATATTATAAATGTATTAGATTAGATGGGTCGTCCTTAATAAATTTGATAACTTTACAGAAAAATTAATTCCACATAACTTTGCCAATCATTTGTTTAAAACCCAGTATTCTAGCAGTTACTACTGCTTATAATGATAATTTGATGAATTGAATGATCTTTCATACTGTTATATGTTAATATCTATGTAATGATAAGTGACTTGTCCTTCGGAGATCATAAATCATAATGGTCCCTCCGAAAGAAAGTCCAGTCCAGCCATTATAATACCGTTCCAAACATTAATATCCGTTATATTTGTCAACTTTATTGTAGGGGAAGGTCATGGTATAAAAAATAAAAGGTAGGATATCAACTGCGTTAAAAATAGGACGGCCACGCGCATGACGTCACGCGTAGAGTTTGCATAGGCGCGATTTTAAAAATACTGACGAAGTATGAGAAAAATATGTTATTTACAGAAATTTCATTAGTATTAAAGAATAGTATTTTATAAATTAGATGAAATATCTAAGGATATATTATTATGGGAAAGAGCTATGATGAAGGAAAAAAATGCAAATACATAAAAGAAATATTTATTTTAAGTAACTGTTTCCTTTTTCTTTTTATTGATTTATTTTCGTTATACATATTCGAATGCAGGTTTTTAATTTTAAAGAACATTCGACTTCTAAGGAATAGTTTTTATAATCAGGATAATGAGAAAGGTATATTTACAGCTCGGAACTTCTCAACTGGGGACCCTGGGTAAAAATTTCCCATCTGGTGACGCCGGAAATATTTAACTGATTACGATTCGCAACTGGTGACTCATTTACCTGCATTATATTACCCAATTGAATTATACTTATTTTATGGAAAATATACCACAAATAGTTTTTTAAAAAATATTTTTTATACCTATAACGCAGAACATAAAATTAATGTAACAAATACAAATAACTGCTACATGGTGGGTTTATAAACAAAATCAAAATAAAATGTCACTGCATTTTTCCTGGACATAGTCACAAACAGGTTTTTAATTCTTTAATCAGCATTGCCTATAACAATTACCTTTAAAAAAAGCTGATGAAATACAACAATTTTAATACAGGAGAAGTTTTTTTTTTCGTTTTTTTTGCGATCCTCTATCCGTCCATTTAATATTGTCCATGTCGGTTTGAACTTAAAGGGTACTGATGTTCGCTATAGGCTAATTTTATTAGTCAACCATAATTCATAATTATGTCAATAATTTCTGTGTAGAAACGTCAAGTTCCATACTAATATTTAAGGAGGCTGATTCCAAAATGTATGTGTCTAGACAAACATCGTTCAGTCACTCTTGAAACATGGAAAATAGAGGTGCAGTAGTGAAAATATCACGTGTGTATATAGACATCAAAAAACTTATCAAGTTCCATCATGGTAAAAGTATACTGCCAACTCGACTATCATTTATACAATTTGTAACAAAAATGATATCAATATCAGATACCTAATCAATAATTTTATTGATGTTTTTGAATATAATGTCTTTTTTTTCTCTAAAAAGTTACATTGAAATTTAAAAATATTGTAAATCAGCAACTGGTAAATGATTTGAACAAATTTGGGTCTCCATACAATCCTCCAAATAAAAAATTTGTCTAGGTATTATTTGTCGTCCACCCAGTACCTAGTGATTGTAAATATTTTTTAGATCACTTATTTGATTATTATCTACAATAATGTCTATGGAATTTGATAAATTCGTTTGTTTGGGTAAAATAAATATTGACCTTTTAACACAGAATCACGCTATGGTTGAATATTTGACCTTACTTGAGAGATTAAATCTACAATAGATTGTTACAGAAGCTATGCACCTAATCGGATAACTGATACCTCGAGAACACTGTTATATAGGGTGAATCCTAAGTTTATGCATACTTATTTTTAACTGTTTATGGAAGGCGTTAAAATAAACATATTTTTTAAAAAACTAAAAAATAAGGCAGATATAGAATTAAAAAATTTAAATGTGGGTCTGGAATTGTGTGTTGAAATTTAGCTAATTAATAAGTCTGTTTATATTTTTTTACTTTTTTTTAGGTAATCACCAGTCGTGATTTCAATTATGTGTTTATCTAAAGTGCATAGTGAATTTAATTTGTTCGGTACGGTAAATTATGACAACAATAAACTTTGTGGATATGTTACTTTCTTTATGATGAGTGCCGTCAAACTGCAACTGCTACACCGGTATTGTACAGTAAATAAGGATTTCCCTCGAAAAGTGTGGAAAATGTATTGTATCTTTTTCACGTTTAACGTGTTCAAGCACTACAACTTGAAGTTTTCCCCATAAAGTTCAGTTCAGAATATTTCTTACAACTGCATAAATTAGAGCAACATTTTTTAAAAACAGTTCTAGCTATGGACAGGACCGAATTGGATACATTTTGAAATAAATTATGGTAAGTTTCTTATTTTTAATTTTTTTTTTTTTTTTGAACAGGTATCAATTTAGGATTGATCCTGTATAGGCGATAGTACTCTAAAACTAATTTAACAATAATTATTAGGTCTGACCACAATTGCAGTTGACTTAAATCTAAATTTAAATGTTTTAAAATTTCTCCCTCATTTAATCATACCGCTATTTTTCAATTTTTAAGTTGGATAACGTTTTAACAATGACGTCAAAACTTTTGATTGAAATTAAATTTTTAATTTTAGATAGCTTGTTAGTAAAATATTTATGTTTTTTAATGCAGCCGTTATATTAATTCTTCTATAAAAATTTCAATATTCTCAAAATCATTTTCTCCATTAATTACACCAAATATCAAAATTTTGTATAATTATATAAATCTAATAATAAATTAGAAGACTAGAACTACTACAACCAATATACTAATGCCGCAGTAAAATCAGAAAAAAAAGCTTATTTTGGAAAACGCTTTGCAATCGACTCATAATAAAAGGAAATATAAAATTCTAAAAAAGTTTAAAATAATAGAAACAGCAAATCAAAATAATATAATTTTCAAACTCTAGAAACAATCATTTTCTTAAACAGTGTTAGCAATATACCATATGAAAATACCATTCAGTTTTATGGGAATTTAAAAACTATCTTTAAACCCAAATTAAAATTTTATCCATTACGGAATTGGACACAGCAAATTGTATATTACGGAATAAAACGAAATTCACCGGTTTAGATGGTATCAATATAACTTTAATACACTTTTTATGTTCATATATATTACCATACACTATGTTAATACGACGCACCAGGCAAAATAAAGATGAGTCACTTAATTATATATTGGTTCAACCACGCTCTTTCGATGGCAAGCATGGGATATTGCGTCCCCCACTCACCAACGGTATTATTCTATTTTCTCTATTCAATGGCATTGTGTTTTTATACCGTTCTCCTGGAGACAGGATGGAAAAGTTAACATATTGTATATTACCCACTAGGTAAATTTTTATTTAACGAACTCGATCTTTTGTAGTTGTTGGAAAGAAGATGTGTAGTTTCGCCTATTACTAAAAGTTGAATCCTCATCCAATTTAAATGAGTTATTAATGAAACATTTAAATAAGTTCTCGTTAATTTCACAAGAGTTGAACACTCAAGTTTTACCAGTGCTGTTATACAGTGAGGACGTATAGTTGCGGTACTGATGGTCTATTAAATATAGCCACCAAGTAGGTACTTTATCCAGGTGAAACATATACTAAAATATTTATTAATAGAGGAGTACCCCACGGATCAATCCTCGGCCCAATACCGTATATCGGTGTTGGTAGCCTGAATCACATGAAAATATATACAAGTCTACACGCGGACGACACTCAACTATATTATTATTTTCATAAAGATGTGATTATTGCGGAACATCTGATAAAAACTAATCTATATAATCTGCTCTTATTGGATGTGTTTCAGAATCATGATTTGATACTTATTGCAGCAAAATTACATATGATCCTCTGTAGTAACATTCTCGCCAATTATTTGGTGATTAAAATGAGTAACAAATAATTTATATGCTGTCGAAAAAAATAGGCACTTTTGTGAAATTATCAATTCAAAATTAAAATATGATTCATTGTCTTCAAAAAAGTAGAGAATATAAATAACGTTTTTTATTCTTTTTTGGGCACATGTTGGTTGTTGCCAGTTTTTCTGTTTTTGTTAAAAACACTTCTCGTACGAAAGTTGTAAATGGATGGTATAAACTTGGAAGCTCAAACGTATATTTTTTTAAATACTTGTGATAAAATCTATTCTAAAGACTTGATTGAAGTTTAAATTCGATTGTATTTTTTTATTTTAATGTGTCTATTTAATTCATTATTTAAGTGTTATTCAGCTATTTTCAATATTACCTTGATATTTTTGTTTATACAATTTTAATTTAAAACCTGCGTAATAAATAATTTCATGCCATAAAATTTATATTTGTTCATCAACAGGTTTTTGCGGTATAAAGTGACACACTGAATAAATTTAAGTATAAACACATCACCACTTATCTTACTAAAGATTTTTCTAAGAATCTTGTATTCATCAGAAAAGACGAAACATATCTTATTTCATTTATAAAGCATTTTTCTAGATAACCACAGGTGCATTTTACCGTGTAATATTAAAAGTATAAACAATTAAAGAACCAGGCACCTTTTTTTATTGAAAAATGGCATTTCTTCAAATTTTCTTGTAGAACTCGAAAGTGTCCATTGACCCAAACCGATTCTATGGCTAGTTTTCGAGGTAGAGAGTGTTAAACATCAAAAATTTTTTTTAACTAGATTTCTCATAAAATATACTTGTAGAAAACATGAGTTATAGATTATTTGGCATTGCAATGTTCTGTAAACAATAACAGTATAATTTAATTAATTACACAGAGTGGTTCGAAAAAATGTTTTTTATTTAATATATTTTTTTATATTAGTTACACAATTCGTCACAAAGTCCTTCATACGTGGAACAGCTTTCCGTTTCAAAATAATTATCTTCTGAGAAGCGATTTTTTTATATCCAAGCAGGAGATTTACATCGCGTAATTATTTTAGGAAATTAGCCAATAGGGAAGTTATTTGTTATTATTTATTCAAAATCCTTAAATTCGGTTTTTTGTTTCCCTTGTAAATTATTTTCTTCATCAAACACAAATAGCATTTCTGTTACTGATACATAGGGCTTATCTGATTGGAGGCAGCATTCCAGAATACTGAGTTCCCATGAAATTAGTAATATACATATCACAAATTTACATAGTTGGAAATTACTCGGTCATTAAAGACTGAGCAAACAATCGATGCTGTGCATCAAAAAATATTTCATTCAGTTAAAGATAATGTAATAATATCAATAATACTTCAGATAGCAGAACCATATATGTCTTTTCGCGAATCATCTAAAAAATTGTATACCCGTAACAACGGTAATGTTTTAAAAACTATTGAATTGCTTGTATTGTACGACCCTGATATGAAAAACATACTAATAAATTTGAAAAATCGTCTGACAGGAAAAAATCACCATTTAGGACCTCAAATTCAAAATGAGTCAATCCAGATTATTTTTAATGATATTAAAAAGACAATAATCTCTAATATATTGGAATCAAAATATTTTTCTATAATATTGAATTGCACACCATACAAAAACAAAGTTGGACACATTACTATAATATTAAGGTATGTAAAGCTTGTCAGTTGAAGAGAGCTTTTTAGAATTTTGTCCAGTAATTGATATTATTGGACAAGGGTTAACGAAAGTAATTGTATTGAAAATTAAAGAATTAGGCCTAGATATTTAAAATTTACGGGGACAAGGATATGATAATGGCGCAAACATACGAGGCAAAAACGTTGGAGTACAAAAGAGAATTCTTGATCTTAATAATAGAGCAATCGTCGGCTTACTGCCAAAAGTGACCAAGTCAAAAAAATCTCATTTTTGTTTTTATCGACCAAATCACTTAAAACTATTTACTCTATATCTAGAAAAATTGACTAAGCTAGTAACTAATTTAAAAAAGTTTAGGTATTTATAACATTTGATTTTAGGTCACTAGTTTAACTGGTTAACTAGTTTAAAACTGTTTATTTCAAAAGTTTGTTTATCTGACTTCGCCAATTTTGGCAGTAAACCGACGCAATGTTTGGTCCATGTGCGGCTCACTCACTAAATATATGACTAACGATGCCGTTAAAAACACTTTTGAAACTATAGGCTTCTTTTCTTTAGTTCAATTCATTTATGTATTTTTCTCAGCTTCCACACAATGATGAGGATTGCTCAAAGTAAAAAATAACCTTACTTACACTGAAGCCTTTAAGTGATACACCATAGAAGAGCCGCATTGACGCTATTAAACCGTTAAAATAACAGATTGGAGAAATTTATGATGCTTTTGTAGAAATTGTGTGTAGCCGATGAATTGGAAATCGAAGCAAAATTCTCGTCCGAATCTAAAGCTCAACCGAGAAAAAAATAACGAGGCAATTTTTGTATGAAGGTAAAGATGAACCGATACACAACCTTGAACAGAGTTGATATGTTTTATGTTATGTTTGACACAAAAATTCATTTTTTAGAAGAAAGGTTTGAACTTTTAAAGGTCCAAACAGATTATTTTTCTTTTCTTTACAATATTTCATTGCTTTCCACTTTCAATAAAAATGAGTTACTCAAACACTATATGGATTTGCATACATACTTATCCGATGCTGATAGCTTAAATAGTGACATAAATGGTTTGGGGCTTAAAGATGAGCTGCTGCTCTCATTTATTACTTTGATTGGGTCAAACGAACATCAAACTAATAATCCTTTGAATATTCTTAAGTATATCAAAAATGATTTAGAAAACACTTTCCCTAATTTAGCAATACCTCTTAGAATTTAGCTTACTTTACCCATCTCAGTTGCTTCTGGGGAACGAAAGTTCTCGAAATTAAAAATAATCGAAAATTATTTAAGATCATCTATGTCACAGGAACGTTTAACTGGTTTGACAAAAATCTCCATCGAATATGAAATTGCCAATAATTTAAATTATGATACAATTATAAGTCTGATTTATGAAAAAAAAGTCCGAAGATATATTTAGTTTTTATGAGCCTATGTATTTGGTCTGAGTCAGATTTTTAGAGTTTCATTTTTATGTGCCTACGTATAATGTAGGTGTAACTATGTAGCATATAGTATATATTTAACCATTTTATATTTTTTAATAAACATTTCTTAGATTTAGCCAATTTTTTTTAATACCTACAACCACAAGGGCGACAATTTAAAAACTTGCTCCGGGCGGCCAAAAGTCTAGCGACGGCCCTGGTTCTCGCTACTTTGAATGGATATGAGATATATTAGTTCAGTTGAACGCAATGATATACTTTTTCGTTTTGTAGTCTGTGCGTAGATAAGTTATATATATCCATGTGGGTGTAGAAAATAAATATTGAATGACTTTATATTACGAATCTTATGATCAATATCCAGCAACTGAAACAAATTTAAACCAGTTCTAAAGCTTATCTAGTAAATCTAGTAAGATCTGAACGCACCATATAAGGATTTACCATACAAATATACTTATATAATTATGGGGCCCCCTTATATTATCTATAATAATAATAATAATAATACTCTCCCTAATCTATCTAGCTTTGGTGTTTACGTATATGTTTTAGGATTCATAACATAACCTCAAACAATTGTTTGTGCTTCACTAACTGCTGCATGTTGCATGGTCCTTTGTTCGGACATGACGTATATCTGCTATAGTATGCATTAAACAACTTATTTTCGAATAAAGATAATTTCCTGATCGTAGTAGAATTTTATATTAATAAAAATTTCCTTGGTTTATTCGGTTATATTCTTTTTATTTTCTATAATTTAAGCACGAGCACTACCTATGTTTCGGAACATTTTCCATCTTCTAGTGCAGTCAAAATTTAATAAAATATAGGAGACGATTACAAAGAGTTTAAAATTTTTAAAATAACAGAAACTCCATTTTTCTGTTTCACAGTGAGTGAAGGTCTTTCCACTTCCTCAAGGTCTAAAAATCCACTGACGTAGCGAAACTCCGCTACTCCTGGCAAAACTGAAAAAGTTCTACTTTAGACACCAGTGCAAATAAAAAAATAGGGTGGCATTAAGCAGAAAGTTACACTCAATAGTGACAAACTAAGATAATCAGCTCTAAAGTTTTTGAATGTTTAAGAAAACTAGGTTATGGGTTAGCATTTTATAGTTTTATAGGCTATATAATTAAATGAAGCTTGCTAGCTTCTTATAGAATGCAGAACGTGTATTTTATTACCCAAATCCGCACCAAACCCAATATCTGGTATATTGTGGGTTGGTATCTTTCTGGATAACGCTGTCCAATAAATCTTGTGCACATACAATATATTCGTGACTTGTTCTCTAGTTCTTGTCTTTTTTAGTGGATCACTGCCACCAGCGAATATTTTAATGATTTTATTATTCATTTGTTGCCCTTTCGAGCGTGATTTTTGTCATGTGTATAGGAGAGTTCAATGCTTTTAGCGGATTCTAGCTGTTTTAATATACCAATCTAGTGGGAAAGCGAAGCGGAGTGTTGGCAACACTGTTAGACACCTCTTACAAATTTCCTCCAGAGGGCGTATCACTTAGCTTGAATCGCGAATAGGGTAAAGGAAATAAAAATCAAATTACCACTAGACAACATTTATTAAAACTTAAGTCACCAATGGTTATAAAAAATATATATCATTTAGACATTTATTTAGCACAGATTGAATACTGTAAGCGAAAGTCTCGTTGAATAAACAACATTAAAGAGGTACATACAATGGCATATTTTTACAAATAAGTTTAAGTAACTACAAAGTATTAGTATATAACATATAATCCACCGATATTACCAATAATTAAAAAAATACTGTTCTAGTTACTTTTTAACCACCAACCACTATGGCAGTATACATTCAACCTAAACATTTAAGGAATATAGTAATGTATGTACATTTTAAAATGTCATATTTAGCTTGGAACCATGTGACAAGCCGTAATAGTTCACTGAATATTTATCAAAAAAATAAAAAATGTAAGCACTGGTCTTATTTTATGTGTATATGTAAATATGGACCATCTAAAATATTGCACTCATTAAATTCAGTCGAATTATTAAGAGTTGTCACTAATAAGTGAAATCATCAATCAAAAGAAGCCTCTCATTAACAATAGTACGATGACACATTTACTTTTTCATTTTTATCCACGAGAAAATATCAAAATGTTTAATGTTTTAAGCTTTCCTCAAATAACGACACCCTAATCTCCTCATTTTATGAAAAAAATAGTTCTTGTAATAACTGTTTTCGTTACTTGTTATATACAAGATTTTTTCTAATTTTGACTAAATTATTTATCAAATGTGTTTGGTAAAAATTACTAATCATTAATTTTTAGTATTTCTAATCAAAAATGTTTAAAAACGAATAATTTGACTAATTTTTTTTAATTTATGCTTACGGTCACTTAATTTTATTAAAATTATATATGCAACTGATGTTACTCCTATCTGCACTGTTAATTACATAAATATATACTATATACGTCAAATCGTTTGAAATTCATAAATGAATAAGGATATTAAGCTCTATAAGGGAACGAAGTTAAAGGGGGTTAAAATATGTTAAAAAATAAAGCTCTATAAGGGGAAGAAGCCCTTTGATTTTGAAAAAATTGATTAAAAATGAAAACATTTAATATGAGTTGAAATTAAAAACAAAACAAATCAAATCAAAAACGAAAAGCAATATCAACATGAAATTTTTAGTAAAAAATCAAGTTCTATAAGAAGATTAGGCTATTGATTCTGAAAAAAAAAATCTGATTAAAAATGGGAGGGTTAAGGGGGGGTTGAAATATTAAAAAGAATCCTAACTCAAAAACAAAAAATAATATCAAATTGAAATCTTCAGTAAAAATCAATCTTTATAAGGGGATGAATATGGGGTTAGGGCGGTCTGTTGAGAGTATAATATAGAATGCCAAGCATTATATATCTCCATTCTAGTTTTACATAATGTTCAAATTTATGCATAAAGTAGATCAGTTTGACATTTGCTGCGATTACAAAAGATGTCACTTTATGTCAAAATTAGAAAAAACTATTATGCATTCCAAACAAAATGGCTGCGCGTAGGTAATGACATATTAGGTATGATATAGCAACCCTGTGGGCCTGGTGATTTGACAGGGTCAATGATATAGTTATACAGATTGATCATCTATGTTTTTCAAAATAAACATAAGCTTATGCTTTGAAGTAAAAATGTAGGAATTATTAATGTTTTACTATATTCAAAGGCTGAAAAAATTGGTTTTATAACACATTTTTGCTAAACCAATTCTCGTTTAATGAGCACTTGCGAGGCAATATGGCCGCTCGCAAAACAACCCGCTTCGAACAATTATATATAACTGTATGTATATGTATCAAAAACAACAGGCCTACAGGGTTGACATATCAAAACCTGCCGTTACTGACAGGGGCAACATTTTGACAACGAGCTGTCAAACAATAGCTGCCAGTTGGAAGGGCTCATATATCTAAGGGGGAGGGGGTTGATACATAGCCTTCCATCAGACTTAACATTAACTCACAATCAACTAGGGATCTCCAATGCAGATCTTACTGGATTTATTCCTTTTTCAGGCAAGGCCGTACGTCGTTCCAAACGTCAAATTAAGCCTACAAATAAATTATATTTGTGAACTTTAGGATTTTGTTTTTCATAAGGGGAGAGTTGTCATATATCTGCTGTTACTAAAATGAAGGCTCCTCATATGTCACTTGTCTACGTATATTTGTCAAAATGTCAATTTTCAATGTATGCGAAATTTTCCATTTAAATGTTGTTAGTTAAACAGGAGTTGTAATAAATTAAATGAATCGGAGTCCATCTTATTATTCCCTACATACACAACATTGGACGCTGTTTATTTAAAATAGTAGTCGCCAAGACTGCCAATTAATGAAAAATGTATGAGCAGTTTTGTAAAAATATTATTTTCATTCATTTCGACATAAAATATTAAAATGTAATCCAATATTCATGATTTCACGTGTTGCAGATAGAATACATCGTATGTCACAACCCCTTAGATATACCAACCCTTCCCACAACAGCCTAATTAAACAGTTGATATTGTAGTAAGCACTTCTGAAAATATACATTTTTTGTTTTTGACAATTTTTAGTATTAGGATTTTTCGTTACTATTGATATTTTTATCAAGCCTCTTATTAGTCGAATATAGCTACGCCATTACATCAAAATTAAATAGTTGTCGCTCTTAATGATGGTCGTTAGGGTCAGCAAAACATACGTCATCGAATTTTCTCGAGGAGTCTTGTAAACATTTTAAAAAACTATTTTTTATAACATAAAATAATTTTTATAAAATGATCACGCTATGTAGAAAATGTACAAACACAAGTTAGCAATAATAATGTAAAAACCCACATATTTGGACACCTACGTAAATATATGTAAAAATATATAAAAGGATTTTATAATTTTCTAACCACTTTTTATGATTTGAAGGGTAGGTACAGAGATAAAAAGATGAATGTCCACAAACCGAGATTTTGAGATTAATATGCGAATCCATACTTAAAATATCTTAGAATCTGAAATTCTTCGAAGCAGCTAAAACCAATAAGCATTCTATCTATCTGAATTAGCATTACAAGTTACAGAAAATTTTAAAAAACGTGTTCAGAGATGTTTCAGAGCAATAAAGATGAATGTCTCGCCATGTAGGTGAAAAAATATCGTTTTTCTCATAAACTACTTTGACATTTATTTTTTACCCTATACCCTTCATTTGAGAATGTATATTTAATAAATCAGTTCAATCATTGAATTTAAAAATTATGGCCCAAGATAAGAATAAATTATTGCACAACTGTTCACAAAATAAACAATCTAGTTATTGTAATTTCATGTTGAGTATATTAAAGCAATATTTGTCATAAACACTATAAAAAGCAACAATTTATTAATATATTAAACAAATATAAAATTAAGTAGTTCATAATAATTGTCTTTGTGATGCTTTGTCAATAAATTTATGAGCCTGATAAACATTGACAGAGCTTAAGCAGAGCTTCTTGAGATTGTGATTCATCATGATGACATGAACTTCAAA